GTCGTACTATCGGTAATTTAGAGCGACCATAAATATATCGCTGCTAACCGCGCTTTAATGTTAAACACAACGTCATTTAACTCCATAAATTATCAATTATTCGAACAGCACGTCTATCTCCCACGTCATTCAGCACCGCGTATATCAGCGCCATTGACGCATTACCTCGTAAATAAAATGGTTCTGCGATTACACGTGTATCGCCCACGTCCGTGATTTGTCCCAAAACAGAAGTCTATAAGCTTTTAAACAGTTTGGCACTACGCCAAACGATCGGGCATCAACCTCTGAACACCACGAATATATGCCAATTTCGAACCTCATCGACCACAGATAACAAACACTAAGTAAAATGACACCTAAGAAATATATATTTTATAACAACACTAGTTTTTAGTGGCAGGGTGCCAGTCGTAGACAGGATGCAGCTTATTTATCGTCACTCAAACAGTTTCTAATGTCAGTATAATATTCGAAAACTGTCAAAATGTGTACGTATACAAATCTTTTTAATATATAAAAAAAGATCTCGATTTCAATGAGCGATACGGTCACGCAATAAAATTCAAAGATTTATTTCTCAGCGTGCTTTTAACGCTAAGCCAGGACGCGGAACTAATAAAAATAGCCCAGTTCTGAATAACTCAATAAAATTAGGTTTAAAGCAAACATTGCGAGTGGTAGGTAGGTGCGTAGTGGGCCGCTCCGCAACACGTTCCGACAATAAGGTGTCGTTGGTAACTCGCGACGCCAACTATTACTATTTCCAGTGAACCGGAATAAACGTGCGACTGTAATAAAGCGTAAGGCACGCCCTTATTGAGAGCGAAGCGTATTCACTGCTGAAAATTATGCCGCTCTATTTAGCTAAATGCATTTCATGGTAATTTGTACAGGTATTGATAGCATACTTATAGGTATAGCGATACTATACGGCTTGGAAAGTATACGATGAAATAATTTTGCATCTGATAAAATATTTTTCACATACACCCAGTTAAGCAGCAGATATCACTCACTACGCAAAAGCATAACCTTGGTAAACATTCTAGACGTTTTAATTATTTTTTACAGTCCGTTTCTGACGCAAAACAAAGAGCTTATGTCGGAGTCGAATGTTTCGGAGCAATTTCCTAGATCCATCAAATTACCTACTCCCTAGGCTGCCTAATTAATCTTCGCTATCGGTTGCACCGTAGCCTTACTGCTGCATACGTTTACCAAGAAAGCTGGCTTTACGATCAACGTATGTTTATATAACTCCATTCCTTCACTCCTTAAGTTATTCCATTCAATTCAAATCGCTGCCTTATTAATCCTATTATGTGCGGTTTTTACTTCCCATCTGTTTATTGGCTGTTATCCCCCGTGAACGATACGCGATACTGACGCGGTGAACAAAGTTTTTTGTTTAAGAAACACATACATTAATTAGTCTTTATAGAATGTAGTAGGAGCTTCTTCGATGCTTTAAAAAAAAAGTGTTTATACACAATGGTACAATCAGCATATTAATGTCGCATGGCATTATCTATCTATGGAAGACAGGCTAACGTGCCATAGGTGGAATGCCACTTGACAAATGCTCGATAAAAATGTGCATAGAGTCAGTAACCTCTCGTACGATAATTTACATAGAGATGCATGTATAGAATGAAGTTTATCAATAGGTTAAGCAAATGAGTGTTTATTAAAAAGCAAATGTTTGCTTTACGCTTTGAGACAACTTAAAAACTTTATTTTACAAAACTAATTAGCATATCTCCCTTCTCTTCATTTTATTAAAGGTCGATGCAATGACATTGCAAAGGTCGGCCGACCCTCTTTTCGTTTTAGTCGGTTCTCGATATAAGCCTATAATAGTCCACTGCTGGACAGAGGCCTCTCCTTAGAAAGGGGGTTTTGGCCTACTATGCCACGCTGGGTTGATATAGGGTTTGTTTCAAGTTTTCCTTCTCTTTGTAGTGCTGTTATCCTGCGTAGTTTTTTCCCTTAGTCGGCTTTTACCGACACCCACGGGATTAATAGGGGAGGTCACATTTCGTATTCTTAATCCGTCACCACACGGATCCAGGGTCTTCACACGAAAGTAATAAAAAACAGCAAGACTTGCATATAATGTGTAACATCTAACACGTCAACTTCTATCTGACGGCCAAGTCTAGCACTACGCGTGCTCGTTAACCAAATTTCCTGGTTTCCTGTTACACTCATGCGTTCTTTCTCATGAATGCACTCCCACACATTGCATTAAACCAAGAGATGTTACCTACTCATTCAAAATACTTAATAAGAGTAACCAAATTACTGTACGTCTGAAATCAGTGTAGGTCCGAGGAGCCATGTGTCGATGGGCATGTCGTTAAAAACGCCTTAACCACAGATTCTGACGGGCGCCAGGGCAAAGACACAGATTATTTGAAAAATCCTGTCCGAATTACATCTTCATGCCTAAAACCATTTATAAGGTCGTTTATTACCGCTATTTAAGGATACTTTTCTCTACCAATTTTTATAGTTTTTCATAGAGTTTACTTTTTCTACAAGAGAACTCTAAAAAACTAAAGATCTAAGCTTAAGATACGTTTAGATGTTGTAGTAGGTGTACGAGATGCTAAAATGTCGCAACAATAGTAATAAAACGAAAATGACTGCCATTAATTTGATTAATTTGCATTTTAAAATCAAATTATTGCATCTGTCATTAAATTTAATTGATGCTTATTAGTTAACATTTAGTTTTATGACTTAAACATCATAGAAGCATAAAATATTTGGTGATTTTGTGATCATTTGTAAGATTGTGTCGGGTAGGCACAATACCATCGGTACACATCCTGTCTAATGTTCTTTCAGTACGTACACAACACATACCGTAACATATGTTGCGCCAGAAATAAATAAAACTATATATTTCACTGATTGTACAACGTGCACACATTCTGTTAGCATTCCCAACACTAACAGAATGTTTTACTTGGATTATTTGTTTTTGTAGTCTGTACAAATCTGTCTTTATGAGCATTTAGTAGCTTACGGTAGTTGTTGATTGTCGAATTTATTGAGTCGTTGGGAAATGCCCGCGGGACATTATTTTGCTAAACAAATGGTCTCGACAATCTTGTTTTCAAAGTTGTTTATTGAAGCCCGTAAATACGGTTGACTAGTTTATTTAATAGCTATTTTAAAATTGGAACAGTTAGTTATACGTAGAGAGTAATTTGTTTTTTTTTTACGGTTTGAAATAAGAATCAGTACCTATTGATGACAGAGAGATGGAGTATAGGCCGAAATAGAAGTTGAGCTCAAATGCTATTCCATTACTTACAATTTTAATGTTGTGATTTTTCTAAATAGATTTAGTTGTGACGACGACAATATTAATAACATGAAATGTAGACTTGGTACTAAATTATTATGAAATGCAAAGACGATATAGGTTCAAGTTCATGCCGTTAAAACTTTTTGTAAATAATACACACGAACACAGAACTGCACCAAGCGGAAATCGAAATCGTGACCATAGTCAAATATAAGCACAGAAAAATCGTTAAGACTGGGGCAGACAACAGACGTGTCGGCAGATAGGTAACGCAGCAGGAGTAGGTTGTAATGTACCAGTTAGTACATATAGAAAATATCATACACCCGTGTCAAGTACGACCTCTGCGTTAGTATTCTCATTTTCTTATCCGATGTCTGTCCCAATCTTTATATAATTATAAATAAAAATAACAGAACAAACTGTTTGACATGAAATAAAGCGGAAGTCATTTGACGAGGCAGTCAAATCACTGAATGGATCCATAGCAAGTGAAGCAATATAAGTGACAATTAAACAGCAGGACTTCCCCATAATAATTGAGTGGATTTATCGTCAGTTATCGCTAGTAATAAATACGGTAGCAAAGCACGGCAGCCACGCGATCTATAACGTTCATTGTTGCGTCTGATAGCCGCCGATAGCAGCGCTGATATCGTCCAGATTGCACACACTTTAATATATTTCATAGAATACGTTTTTATATTTAGGGTTCACTTTGAGACAGCCGTGAAAAGTTTACCACTATAAATCTAATAGTCGATTGTGATATGATTTAAAAATTCTCTTTGCATAAATGTTTATTTTAAATATCATTCGTACTATATATAAACAGCTAGCTTAACTACTGCTTGACGCTTCTCGTGAACAGAAGGCTGGTCTTTTTCTAGCACAGGGAATTAGCATTGCCATTCATCGTGGCAATGCTGCCAGTCTTCTGGGAACGCTACCAGTAGGCGATGATGCGGAGGATTTTTTATCAATATTGTAACTTAATTTAAATTAATTTTTATTCTCAATTTCATGTTTTTTTTTTGTTCTAGATACTAGAAGTTCCTCCCTTATTTTTCACTTTCTTGCACCTTTTATTAGCTTTAAAAATTGTTGTTGTTATATTTAAGTGATCTTATTAGAAATAAATAACTTTAATATCATTTATTTATGAATGATGTATATAAACATTACTAACAATAAACTACCAGTTTTTAACATTTCGATTTTGCCAATCAATTATTTCCAGTTAATAATAGTAGCTTATGACCTATTCTAGACTATACTGTGTACCAAATTCCATCCAATTTTGTTAGGCCGTTCTGGCGTGACTGAGTAAGAAACAGCCATCCATCCAAACTTTCACATTAATAATATAAGTACTTGTCTGTAGTATTGAGATGTATTGCGTCAAAACATTCTGCGGCATCCGAGCTTAAGCTTTTGCCACGTTGAATAGCGATCCTAATTCTTTGTGCTAGAAAAAAGGGCCAGACTTTCAAGTCATGTCTTGTATACTCATTTTATGTACGCAAATCAAATGGCGTCCAAATCACCCCAAAACAGGATAAACTCTTCAAAAAGAAATGACAGTTACGTTATAATACATACTTCGTTTGTGTTCTCTAGCATATACTACAATCGCTGTTTCCATTGTTTTCAGATGCGGTAAAACTAGTCAACAATCATGTGGTTGGTGCTGGTGGGGCTAGCCGCCCTCTCAGCGGCCGATGCTCTGCAGCCGCGCTGTCAGGAGATCACCATTCCCATGTGCCGGGGGATAGGTTACAATCTAACGAGCTTCCCTAATGCGCTGGACCATGATACACAAGAAGAAGCCGGATTAGAGGTTTGTATATAATACATTTTATTTTCGTTTATCAAAAGGAAAGAAAGGAAAAGGATCCACTTCTCTGTCTGCCTGTTCGTCAAGACTTAATTTCTGAAGTAGCTGTGAACGTATCAAGTTCAAATTAATATCAAATACTTATGTCTGCGGTTCTTTAACTTGTAAATGGTCCAAGCTTTTAATTTAACACAATTAGAAAATACAGCTATTGAAGGTTATTATTTTGAACAATTTTAACTCTTTGTGAATACCTTTGGGCACCTACCTATACTTTAAGTTACCTCCCACTACCGCCTGTTCACATCGGTGCTACATGATAACACTGGTGCCTAATTCCATGCTATCACTGTTCCAGGTTCACCAATACTGGCCCCTCGTTGAAATCAGATGCTCAGCCGACCTTAAGTTCTTCCTGTGCTCCGTGTACACGCCCATCTGCATCGAAGACTACCAGAAACCACTGCCGGCCTGCCGGAGCGTGTGCGAGCGCGCGAGAGCGGGATGTGCGCCTCTCATGCAGCAGTACGGCTTCCAGTGGCCCGAAAGGATGGCTTGCGAACGCTTGCCTCGCGCCGGGGATCCCGACCAACTATGCATGGAAGAAACCGAACGAGTTCGCGAACCTCCCCCGCCCCCCGCGAGGCGTCCCCCTCGCCCCTCTTGCACGGACCCAAAAAACTGCGCGGGCGCCGCTGCCACGGCCGACGCGGCGCCGGGCGGCGGCGGCGCGTGCGTGTGCACGTGCAAGCCGCCGCTCGTCAGCACGCGCGCGACCAGCCCCGCGCACGGCCCGCCGCACAGCCCCGCGCTAAGCCCCGCCAACACAAGCAGCGGGCCGCTCGTGCCCGGCTGCGCGCTGCCGTGCCGCGGAGCGTTCTTCACCCGCGACGAGAAAGAGTTCGCCGCCGTCTGGGTGGCGCTGTGGGGGGGCCTGTGTGCCGCCAGCACGCTCATGACCCTCACCACCTTCCTGATCGACTCCCAGCGGTTTAAGTATCCGGAACGACCGATAGTTTATTTGTCCGCTTGCTACTTCATGGTCTCGCTCGGATACCTGGCGCGGCTCGCGATCGGTCACGACGAGGTGGCGTGCGACGGTCCTCTTCTGCGCACGAACGTCAACGGTCCCGGAGCCTGCACGCTAGTGTTCGTCCTGGTTTACTTCTTCGGCATGGCGTCATCCATCTGGTGGGTGGTGCTCTCCTTCGCGTGGTTTCTCGCCGCCGGTCTGAAATGGGGCAACGAGGCTATCGCCGGGCACGCCCAGTACTACCATCTGGCGGCCTGGCTGATTCCCGCCGCCAAAACGGTCGCCGTCCTCCTCGCCGGTGCGGTCGACGGCGATCCCGTCGCCGGAATCTGCTACGTGGGCAACTCCTCGCCGGAGAATCTCAAACGCTACGTTCTGGCACCGCTGATAGTGTACTTCGCCCTCGGCGCCACTTTCCTTCTCGCCGGTTTCGTGTCCCTGTTCCGCATCCGATCGGTGATCAAGCGCCAGGGAGGAATCGGCGCCGGCTCCAAGGCGGACAAACTGGAGAAGCTGATGATCCGCATCGGAGTCTTCAGCGTGCTCTACGCGGTGCCGGCCGGAGTGGTCATCGGATGTCTCGCCTACGAGGCGGGCGGGCACGAGCGGTGGATCCGAAGGGTCGCGTGCGGCCCCACGTGCGGGCCGCGGCCGCTGTACTCCGCACTGATGCTGAAGTACTTCATGGCCCTCGCCGTGGGCATCACGTCGGGCGTGTGGATCTGGTCGGGCAAGACGCTGGACTCGTGGCGGCGCGTGTGGCGCGGCGGGCGCGAGCCGCCGGCGGCGCAGCGCGCGCTCGTCAAGGGCGGCGTGTGACGCGCGCCCGCGGCCTCCGCCGCGCCCGCCCCCGCGCCCCTGCCGCCCCTCCCGCCCGCCTCCGCCTCGGCCGTGACGGCGCCGGCGCGCTCGGCGCAGCCGCTGTCGGACTACGGGCCCGTGTAGGGCTCTCCGCAGACTTTCGAACGACGGTGATGAGGAGGGCCGCGGGGCCCTCCGGTGACGATGTGATGTGAGTGTGAGTGACGATCGCGCCGTGTCTAGTCCTAGTGTAACGCGCGACGCCCACGATATACGTAATAGTGTTTAAGGGTACCGAGGGGCCGGCCGTGGCGTCCGAGCGCTCGATCGCGTACCTGGCTCCGTGAGTTACGACCGTTATCTTTATAGAGAAGCTTCGTGTCTGAGCGTTCGACCGATAACTCCTTTCTACGACTCGTAAACTATCTGGTGATGTAAAATTAATCTGCACCCGATAATCGACGCTCGTACTCACCAGCGAGATACTTTTCTATTCAGTACGAATTACCTCACCGATCACTGCCATTTTATATTGAGTAACAGAAGAGTATTTTTCTGCTGCGTACTAAGTAGCCGTTGTGATGATACCGTGACCGAATTGTTAAATAAATAATAGGGGCTCATCATTATTCAACGACCATTATTATATACCTGTATCTCTTTCATTCTCATGTTAATTTCGATGAGTCCTTGCTATTTGTACAGTTAGTATTGTAACGCGAGGCCCGCGTACTGCGTACCGAGGCGTCTTGTATCTAATGTAATGATCTCTAACGTCATATTGTAAATAAATGATCCTATATCATTTTCATCCCTGTATTTACTCGTAAGCTGATATTCTGTAATTCGTCGTTTTTGTTTAGCTTCGATTTATATTATTTAACCTTGTAGAAAAGACAAATCCTAGTGAAATACCATTCTAATATTGTATTTTTCTTTATTAGACTTATATACTCGTCGCTAGATGGCGTTACACGATGGCAGATTGTTCTAACAAAATAATGCTTTGCCTAAATTTGCCTCGAGCAGCGGCATCTGGGGCGAGGAAACTTTTGTAAATATTATTTTCACAATCGCCGAATATGATGTGAAGATAAGTTGTATTTTGTGCAATGGTATTTAGTGTATTCTCCCATAATTGTAAAGTTATTAAGATGTATGGAAAAAATTGTATATTGTAGTCACGGACGCCGCAGCCGAAACCGTATGAAAATCATTATGTATGTAATTTATTTTATATCTAACTGTAGATAACAAATAAAGCGACTTTTTTATGTACAAACCGTGGTCTCATTTTTACATAATTACTACACTTATTAGACATGGAAATGTAATATCATGTAATGATTGGTTTTAGTTACAGCGGTTTCACCTGTGATTGTGATTTGATCATAGACAAAGATAAATGCCAGCAATCAATCAAAATTATTTTTATTAAAGATTACGACTTTTTTTACGATCATATATTATACTAGCTGAGACCCACGGTGTCACCCGCGTTTGTTGTTATAACCGCGGGCAACGCCGCGGGGCGAAGCTAGTCTAAAAAAAGTTGCCTAAGTTACTCCTTATGTCATCAGCTATCTGCCAGTGAAAGTCCCGTCGAAATCGGTTAAGCCGTTCCAGAGATTACCCGGAACAAACAGACAGACAAAAATGTTATTTTGGCATATGTACCGTGTAAACATATATATGCATTTAGTAACAAGCGGTTATTTTAATATTACAAACAGACGCTCCAATTTTATTTATTTGTATAGATAAAAATTATAATATCACATGTGATTGTGATTTTATACCATCCCTACTACACTAACAGACTGCCCAGAGCTTAACGTCATGTTCAAAATATTTTTTATTAATCTATCTAGCTAACTGTAGAATGTATAAGTACAAGTAACTTAAAAAAACGGCTTCACAAACAATTGTTAGAATGAAAAAACGCAGACGGGCTTGTTGGTCTTGTTGTTAGTGACCCTGACTGCGGGTTCGATTCCCACCCACGACAAATGTGTGATTCGTACGATCATGTTTTGTCTGGGAGTAATTTATCTAAAATACTAATCACTCCAATCCACTAGAAGGGATCAAAAACAGAAATTAATAACTACCGGCCTATATCTACACTATTTATAATCGGTAAACTGTTTGAACGATAATCTATAATCAGGTGTTTTAAGCTCTCAAAACTTCTTTCAGCCCACACCAGCATGGCTTCTTAAAGGGGCGATCCACTGTTACAAATCTCGTCTTGCTTAACGATTGTATCACTAAATTAAAGCAATGGATAAGCGTGGCCAACTAGATACCGTGTTCACCGACTTTTTTAAAACATTTGACCGCATTGGGCATAACAGGCTAATCTTGAAACTTGTCAGTTGTCAACTTATTGGAGTAAGTGGGGATGTACTAAGATGGTTCTCCACCTATATTAAAAGCTAGCGGTGTTACCCGCGTTTGTTGTTATAACCGCAAGCAACGCCGCGGGGCGAAACTAGTCTTAAAGAAGTAGCCTAAGTTACTCCTTATGTCATCAGCTATCTGCCAGTGAAAGTCCCGTCGAAATCGGTCCAGCCGTTCCAGAGATTACCCGGAACAAACAGACAGACAAAAATTTAAAAAAATGTTATTTTAGCATATGTACCGTGTAAACATACATATTATGCATTTAGTAAAAAGCGGTTATTTTAATATTACAAACAGACACTCCAATTTTATTTATTTGCATAGATAAGTCACAAGTTACAGTCAGCTCAGTAACTATATGTTCATTTGGGTTACTGTACCAAGCGGCGTTCCTCAAGGTTCTCTGCTTGGTCCGCTGTTTTTTAGTGTACATTAACAACAGACACATGCTTCAAGTCATTCAAAAAATATAGTCCACCATATCTTCAGATAGCGATAGATTAGCTCTCCACAAAGACCTATATATACTAGAGGAATACTACAAGCATAACAAACTTGACCTGAATGCTAGCTAATGCTCAGTAATGACATACACTCGTAAAATATTTCGTATTCCCACAAGCTACACACACCTTAGGCGGCCGAGTTTTAGCCAGATGTAACTCTAAATTAATTTCCAACGAACACGTAGACACGGGTTAAGACCTCCACCACCCCTATTCATCCCGTGGATGTCTTAAGAGCCGACTAAAGGAGTAAACTACGCAGGACAACAGCATTGCAAAGAGAAGGAAAACTTGAAACAAACCCTATTCCAACCCGTCTGGCCAGCATGGTATATTACGCCAAAACCTTTCTAACGAGAGGCCTATGTCCAGCAGTGGACTAGTAAAGGATGTTGATGAATAATTATAATCTACGACATTCCTTCAACGCCATCTAGTCACAAAATTCAAAACCTCAACTCGTGCTAAGTACACTTTAATACATTTACGACAGAAAAAAAAATCTTTTTATTAGTAGGTGATAAACGTAGTAAATTGTTAGATTGTTCTCGAGAACAGAAAACCAGTTAAATGGAATGTATACTTAGTAAGTATAATCGAAATCACAGTTTGCCCCAATTTCTTTTAAAACATAAAAAAACGAAAAATGAGTAATATTGGATTAACAGAAAAGACATATAACTTGAACTACATAATTTCATATTTATTTATGCGAATTTACTGTAAAAAAAATTTGATTTCGTATTTTTAATGACACAGGCCTTACCTGCATATTTCTGAGCAACTTTTTGCTTCATTGTGCTCAAAATCATCCTTATAACATAATAATAAGGTAAGGAAGCCTTAAAACTTCATATTTGTGCGATACTTTAATATTTCATCTATCTCAAATAAGGGTGCACGCTATTTTTTACTGCTTCGTCTGCTTCTAGTGCCTTCTAGTATTTGACATTTACACTAATCGCACCTTTATTCATAAACTGAATTAACTTAGAATTTCAATATTGTGGGAAATCGCATTTAAAGTTTGACATTCATGTACGTGCGAGTTCGTCAAAAAGAGAACGACGATCTCTTATCTCTGCCATTTTCATGGTATCGAGTCGGCTGTTGGATTGTTCGTGTTCTACTGATGAAGTTGATTTGGTATTTGTTGAAAACTCGAAAAACGTAAATTTTGAATTAATTCAGTTTATTATTGAAGGTGCGTAATGGTGAATCGTATTATGACTGTCAGGAATCAGAATGGCGGGAAGTTATGGGGCGGACACTGACAGCTGCCGGAGAACCATCATCATGATAGCCAAGACCGCTCTAACAAGAGTGCTATTCTTTTATATCATTGATGTGATCAGATTATGTGTATCATTATTCTTTAAATAATGATAGGTATACGTAATCCGTACTAATTATATTAATTATAGATACTGGGAATATCTGGAAGCAAATAAAAATGATATAAAATGAATAAAAAAAACAGTGGCACTCCGGTAGTGCCGACAGAAGTGAAAACTGTTTTTTTTCAAAAGTGCCGACATGAATCTATGTTGTACGTATATACACAATATATATATATATATATATATATATATATATATATATATATTATTGTATCAATGTATTTCAACCCAAACTCAACTCTCGTGAAAACGGGGCCAATATAATGATACTTATATACAGAGGTGTCGGTACCGGTAACAGTGTCGCGAGTTCTTTTTTTTCCATAAAATACATACTTTTCATTGTTTTTCAAAAAATTATCAAAATCACTCACTTCAATGAATGACATACCGGTACACCGTAGTAGTACTAATGTGGTTTAATTGTGTACAAATTATAGGGAAATGAAACAACAGTAATTCAGTCTATCGTTTAAAAATGTCTAAGTTGTATACGTGGGGTTGTCGTACATAAAAAAATAATTTATTGCCAGTTTGAACATTTTCACAGACTCGAGTGCGTTTATAAAAGTGTTGTGTTAAAAATAAAGCCACCTGCTGTCACACACAGGTGCACAATTTAAGAGAAAACGCCATCTATGTACACAAAGAAAAACTGAATTCCATTTTTAAGCTGTGCAAAACTTTTTAACAAATTAAATTTATGGACGAAATTCTATACTTAAAACTAGAATCTATCACAAAATTACGTATTTTTGTATGGACAGAATGTTAGAATCCTATCATTATTGCTATTTTATACAACGTTACATCTTCCTGACCTTATTGAAATTTAATAGGTAGGTACATATTAATTTTTACGTTTTCATAATACTTAGTCTACTAAAACATGGTGATCCATTATTGCTGAATTTATCACTTATAAGAACTAATTTGTCCAAAATTGTTCTATATCTAAGTACATACTTAAAAGCAATGTATAGATTGCCGTTTAGGGTAATTAAAATAGGTACCTTAATTACAATAAACAGTAGTAAACCTAAGTTGTATTTGTTTTTAAGATCCGCGATGGCTAGTATACAATAGCAGGTACATAAGTAAAAATAATGCAAACTTAATTTATTAGACGGTATACCTTACCTAAAATTAGTCCACGACTTACGTCTTTATGTATATAATGGCAGTTTTGTTCGTATTTTAATCTAGCAGTTTACTAACTTCAGTTAATAGATGTCGCTACACGTATGAAATGCCAGCCATTAATGATTTAAAATGACAATTTAAAAGTACATTTTTGCTTGCCAATGTTCCTTTCTTTTTTTATGATAGTAGGCAAAGAGATTAATTTATCTGTAATAGAAGTCGGAAGAAGAAAAAATTCTAATTAACCGCTTTAAAGTGATATAGCTTAATTTAGATTGCAATACATGGTTAACAAACCAAGAGTTAAGGTTTCGTATCTTTTACATATGGCGTGCAATGGGATAGGCTGATGATGATCTTTTAATTTGTATATGGACCATGCCTTAGAATAGGCGTTTTGTTCTAAGGATTATTTATTTATTTATTTATTAGCATCCACACTTACTACTATCATTACAGGTATATCCTAATGCGAATCATTCTAAGTATCAATGCCTGTCTCATGTATTTTATATTAATCATCTTCACTGTGATACCTTAAAATATTTTTTTTATTTAAATAACACAATTGGTTAAGCATAAATTATCACAGTAGCGACATCTATTGCTCACAAAATATTACTAAACATTCCGTACTTAAATTTATAAAATTACATTGACGCTCTCACAAAAGGCGGACTGATAGAAGAACAGTCATTGTCATAGTCCTTCATGAGGTGAAGTGTGAGCGTAACCTCAGCTGGTCGCTATACCACTAAAAGATTGGTAATATTGGCCGTATTGGTCGTGAATGTAAGTGCTGTGGGGATATTCAGTCACATGGCCATATGTTTGTGGGTCTTGGTCAAGTGGGGGAGGCAGTTGGTGGTAGTATTGGTGAGCCTCGTGTTGTGGAATGTCCATTTCTATTTTTTGTACGTCTTGCTGTTCCTGCTGGTGTTGAAGGACACCCTGAAAATTACAACAATAATTTTTGGTTTTATTTTTGTACACCTAATATACCAATTGAGAAGAAAGGAAAACTTGACACAAACCCTATACCAACCCGTCTGGCTAGCGTGGTATAGTAGGCCAAAACCTCCTTTCTAAGGAGAGGCTTATGTCCAGCAGTGGACTTTTAAGGGCTGTTGATGAATATACCAATTTGCAGTTTTTTAAACAATTTATGTAGAGAAACGGTAAACCTTGACACACATAAAGTAGCTTTCAGTATGAACAAGTTCACCTGTTGTTGTGTTGTCTTTACAAGAACTAGTCTCACACAAAAACGTGTTTTCAGTACATTATATATAATGTAGATAAAAGACATTTTGTGTAAGCAGTAATCAAGAGAATGAAAACAAAAGTGGAACGGCTTGTCGCAAACAAATTATGATGAGCTGTTGTTTTAGGTAAATGTTTGGGGAGCTTTATTTAATTCAACTTTATTCTTCTCAAAATTAATAATTTAAATTTTTAATATGACTGGTCTAAGTAGCAGTAGTGCTAATCAAATGGCAAATGAGCAGTATGTTCACCTAGTAAGTGACTAGCGACACCCATTGACACATGCAAATCAAGAATCACAAATGCGTTACCGGCCTTCGAGTCCCTCCCTCCCCAGAATTAAGAAAGGGGGATTTATGAACCTCCGGTGAGCTACCCCACTCGGTGAAATGCAGGCAGATAATAATTACCTATCGCCCGTTTTCGCTAAAGTATAATTATGTTGATCCGGCCCATTTGTGACGAGGTGGAAGACCTGCTTGCTTGCTATCTTATTGGTGTAATTACTTTTAGCAGTATAAATAGTTATAAAGGATGTTTACCTGCATCTGGTACTTGCATCTCTTGAATCTGCCGTACAGCGACGAATACGGCAAGTTGAAGTGTATCGCCGCCTGGTTTATCGACATCTGTCCTATCCTACAACGTTAAAACGAATTACAAATATTATTTTAAAACAGCACCGAATATGCATTGAGAACTCTTACGATTACGTATTTAGTTAGAACTAGCTGAGACCCGCGGTGTTACCCGCGTTTGTTGTTATAACTGCGGGCAACGCCGCGGGGCGAAGCTAGTCTAAAAAAGTTAAGTAGTAAGTTAAGTTACTCCTTATGTCATCAGCTATCTGCCAGTGAAAGTCCCGTCGAAATCGGTCCACCCGTTCCAGAGATTACCCGGAACAAACAGACAGACAGACAAAATTTGTAAAAAATGTTATTTTGGCATATAAACATATATATGCATTTAGTAAAAAGCGGTAATTTTAATATTACAAACAGACACTCCAATTTTATTTATTTGTATAGATTATAGGAATTAGTCTATGCCTGGGTAGAATCCATGACAGGATCACACAACTGTCAGGCAGAATAGAAACTGCCTCGGGATTGTATATGTACCTGCATATAAGTTGATGAAAGTAATGTATTAATGAAATATTGGATTTAATTTCAAACGGGAAAATACTTATTTTTTTAAAATGAGTATTTTCCCATGGGAAAAACAGAACAAATATTTATATAAAACATATATTTTAAAGTTGATGTATCTCAGAAACTCATCACTTCTGGCCCTAGTTCTCCAGTGAGTTTGAAATAAGTTTTGCTATATTTCACTGCGCTGGATTAAAATGGATCATCATCATCATCATCAGCCTATCGCAGTCCACTTCTGGACATAGGCCTCTCCTTAGAAAGAAGGTTTTGGCCTACTAAACCACGTCGGCCAGACGGGTTGGGTTACTTTCGGGTTTCTTTCAAGTTCTTCTCTTCTTCTTCTCCTGTTTTCTTCTCTCAAATAATTTTACTTTATAGAAATTAATAATCATTGCTTTATTCGTGTAGTCCAATGTTGCATAAATTTGTTGTTGTTGCCGAGTTTAAATTATGTTTCAAAAATAGAAAAATGTATTATTACCTAACTGCTTCGAGAGCCTCTCCCATAGCATCCTCCGACCACGGCGTAGGGTTGGACCGGGATAACTCTATACCTTCGCGCTTACATCGACCGTACAGCGTTCCTGGAATTGAATTTATCGATTGTCAATTTAATTTTGTTATATGGAACAATTTTGGATACTCTCGAGTTCAGATTAGTTTTAAAGAGATAGTGATTTCCATTCTATATGTTTACTGGCATCAACCGGTTCGGCGTCGGAGATGAAAGGGACTGCTCGGTAACAGGAAGTTCCCTTTACACGTATCTCTTTTGTTTTCTAATGTATGTTTCATTTTTCTGTATACATTTTTGGTCATCATCATCAACAGCCTATAATGGTTCGCTGCTGGACATAGGTCTCTCCTTAGAAAGGAGGTTTGGCCTACTATGCCACGCTGGCCAGACGAGTCGGTATAGGGTTTGCGTTAAGTTTTCCTTCTCTCGGCAGTGTCGTTGTCCTGCGTAGTGTGCTCCCTAAGTCGTCGCTTACGACACCCACGGGATGAATAGGGGTGGTGACACTTCGTGTTCTTAATCCGTCATCACACGGATAATATTTTCGGTAAGAGTGGTAAATTTCTTTTTCTCAAATTATTTGATGGGTGTCGAACGACGGTGATAGACTAGCTCCTTTCACGTGATACGGGTTAAACGGTACCTGGCGAAACGTGGGTGTCTAATATTATTATTATTATTTATAAAGGTCTACTAGCGACTGAAACGACTAGTATTCCCGTTAACCCTTCCCTCTAAGCTTAATCGCTCGTGTCAGGAGTGGGTCGACGTCGGTGTGTACTGGTCAGGATCGGAAGCCACAGGCGGTACCGGTGGGGATGCCGTAGGCGTGCGCGGCGCGCTGCACGGAGCAGTCCCCGGCGCGGATGGCGGCGAGCGCGCGCTGCAGGTCGGCGCGCCGCCACGACGTGGGCGCCGCGTTGAACGGCGCCGACAGACGGATGCCCTCGCGCCGCGCGATCTTGTACAGCGTGCTGCTCGGGATACCTGCGCGATCACATCTACGTCGTCTCGGCCGGACGTAGACCTCCCCGCAACTTTGTCACGAAGATTCCCGCAACCTTCACCGGGTCGTCGGAACTTCTTGTGAGGGGTCTACGCCTACATATTTCTATCTATTTTAAACTACGTTACGTATTAGACGAAGATCGATATTAAATTAAGCCACTAGCTTAATATTGGTTAACTACTAATATGCAGTCTGTGATGCTACACGATATAGCTTTTGACTCTGTATAACATTAAAAAGTAATGATGCTGATGTAAATAATTCAATAATATTTAAACTTCTCGATAAATATTATTTTCACATTATAATGTTTAAACGTACATAACCAAATTCGAAAGAAACTTTAATCTTAGACGATAAAGGCATGAGTGTTCCACAGGGACCTATTATTAGCCCCTTATATTTATTTCCAAGTATATTATCTAAATAATTATCCAATACATTTTTTATGGTACAGCAGGCAAACGAGCTAACAAGTCACCTGACGGAAAGCAATTACCGCTATGTCCATGAACATTATTATCATCAACAGCCTTTAATAATCCACTGCTGGACATAGACCTCTCCTTAGAAAGGAAGTTTTAGCCTACTATACCACACTGGCCAGAAGGGTTGGTATAGGATTTGTGTTCAGTTTTCCTTCTCTTTGCAGTGCTGTTATTCTGCGTAATTTGCCAAAATCGACTCTTACGCCATCCACGGTATGAAAACACTTAGTATTCTTAATCCATCACCACACGGATAGCCGCCCATGAACGCCTGCAACTAACTATTATTCATATATTTATAATAGAAATCAAGACATCGATAATATGTACCATAAGCCTTGCTGGCTTTGTTGGCAGATATAGCACCCGCCCTCAACGCGTGAAGAGCCCCGCGAAGATCGGCCTCACTCCAGGACTTGGCGGCTCCCTCTTTCTTCGGGGTGTCAATACCGAGACGGTGCGCCCGTTGCCACAATGTTGTTGAAGGGATACCATAAGTTGCTGATGCCTGCAACAATTGGTGACTATTACAGAACAGATTTTAAATGAGAGAGTGATTAGAGTTACGAGAGTCAAGGCCGTCTTAGGCTATGCTGGGGCTCCTAGGCACACAAGAATTATCGGCCCTGTTGGTCAGTAAAACTTTAGCTGTGAAAATGAGCGCTCTCTACTACAATTGGTACCCATATAGCAAAAAAAGGATTTTAGTAGCAATTTCAGTATTTGGGAAAAGTTTCTTCTAATTTATCAGGCTTTTCTTATTAGTTTATGTAAGTTTGAGCTACTTAAATCCGTCGATTACTTTGCTATGTTCTTTTAATACTTCCTTAAATGAAAACATTCTGATTTGAGCTCATTTGCATAGATTTTTTTAAATTCATTGCATTTTTAAATGAACTTTTCAGAATCGATTGTTGTTAAGTGATAAATAACACTAAAACCATTGCCAATTTTTTAATATGCTAACAAACGATTTTTCGAACGTGCATATAATGTATCGATAAACGTATCAACACGATTTTTTCTTTGTGCAGTCTCTTAAAAAAAAAGTAAAGCATGTGTTGAGAATTATTTTCCTTTGAGACTTATCTTTATTCAACAGCCACACATTCAACAGCCTGAATACCTACTCAAGTTAGTGTACTGCAGTACGCACTGGGGACAAACATTGCAAATTTACATTTTTCTTTTATTCTTGAACACTTGTTTTCTGTTTTATCAATAGGGCCGAAATATGGGCCTTCAAAAATCACTGATTCTTCTTCTTTTTGGCAGATGTTACGATAGAAGGGTAGGTAGTCCAGCAAATGGCGATTTTCTTTATTTCTCTTACTGGTTCTTAAAGGAGAATGGTTGCACTTTTAGTGCACCCTGAATGGGCAATCTCCCTGATCCACCTGACCGATCCTGAATCTCTTCTATAAAACTTAGGGTTTAAAATTAAACCTTACAAGGACAATAACTTGAATCAATGACCGTAAGTTAAATGTTGCCATTATAGGTATAAAATAAACCATTAAGGGTTGAATGCAAATAAAAATCGTTTTAAAATAGAATGGGTTAATATGTATTATTAATTATGTTATTATTATTTATGTATATTATTATTTATGTTATTTGACGACCGGATGGCGTAGTGGTTTGTGTATGTGTGTATTCTAATGGTCGCGGGTTCGATGCCCACACAAGTCAAACATTTGTGTGTATGAACATTTAATGTTTGATTTGGTCTGGGTGTTTCTATGTATAATATGTATGTATTTACAAAAAAAGTATAAAATATGTATTTAAATCAGTTGTCGAGTACCCATAATACAAGCTCATCTTAGTTTGGGACTAGACGGCATTGTGTGAATGTGGGAAAATATTATGTCCAACCTTAGTAAGACTCATCTGGTGTTTACGAAGTGCCTCTAGCGCTCTTTCCATATCTTGTTGCGTCCAACTCTTGGGGCTGTTCCGAGGAGCTGGCGACATTTGTCTGCTGCAAGAGTCACTCGTGTCTTCGCCACTGAGCTGAAGTTGTTCTGTACAAAAGAAAATTCTATTTTCATCTTTTACATGACTAAAAAAAATCCTAAGCTTATGTAACAAACATGTTACGCTCAAGTCCCTCAGTTACGATGAAACAGAAAATCTTTTACATATTCCATCGTAATACAACACTACACATAAGTGGGCTCCCATATTTTTTTTTTTTTTCTGCTTTTTTATATTATATTATTATGCACACACATATATATTCTAAAACACATTTACGCACGCAATATGCACATTTACGCAATATATACAATACATTCACACAAACACATACACACGCCTAAACATATACACACTCACCCACAAACACACGCGCACACACATTCTTTCATTTATGTACGAACACACTGCCACTGGGTAGTAATTGTTATACACTCTCACTCAACGATAACACCTACTTTACATCTAGTACTGCATTAATCCAGAGCTGGGAGAGGCTGGTAATCTGTCATACAGGTCTGTCCTAGTACAGATACCAGTCTTTCACATAGAACCATTGCAATTGTCTAATGAATGTTTGTTTTGTTTTGTTTTGACTAATGTATTGCCGTTCTGTGTGAGAGAAACAATAAACTATATTATTATTATTATTATTATGTTCTGAATTTTTGTAAAATTAAGAAAATTGCGACATTTATTCTTGTAGTAATTAGTAAGTTTTATTCCCCTGCCAGGAGTTAGGAACCTGAAGATAATGACAATTTGTTAAAAGTACTATTATATTCTATATCGGTTTAAAATATTTATTCTCGTTAAGAATTATGATACTGTTCACTTAACATGACAAAATAATTAATACCAATACACAATAATATTTTACCGTAATCGTTTTTATGTGTGCTCTTACATAAAAACGATTCAACACAAAATAAGTAGTAGTTCATTAAAAGAAGACAACCCTAAAGGCATCTTCTATATGAACATCAACATCTGAATATAACTGTAGGTATTAAGCTGCGCAAACTAAATTGCACTTTATTGAATTGGAACATTATTAAAATGATTTTGCTTTTTGTGCCTTTACTCCTATCTTTTTGTGCCTTTACTCCTATCTTTTTGTGCTTACATTAATTGTTATGTCTTGTCATAACCGGAGCTGGTCCGTGTTATGACGGATTAAGAATACCGAGTGTCGCCACCCCTATTCATCCCGTGGGTGTCGTAAGAGCCGACGAAGGGAAAAAACTACGCAGAACAACAGCACTGCAAAGAGAAGAAAAACTTGACACAAACCCTATACCAACCCGTCTGGCCAGCGTGGTATAGTTATTGGTATAGTACGCCAAAACCTCCTTTCTAAGGAGATGCCTATGTCCAGCAGTGGACTATTAAAGGCTGTTGATGTGATAACTGGAGCTGGAACTGAGCGAGGTAACTTGAAAACTTTCAAGGGGTTAAGAAGTTGGGTGGGGAAGAGGTTAAGACAATTTAAACGATATTAGTTCCGTCAATTTTATAAGATTTGCAAACTAGTGGTAATAAATGTTGTTTCAAACAGGTATAGACCACGCTTAAGTAGCGTGTGGACTTCAATCACTGTTAACAAAGAATTATTCATAGACTGTGAAGTAGATAAATATGCAATTAATTAAATACAGCAATTACTCAAGTAGTAACTTTCGCTATCTTTTTTTTTTATTAATTTCCCATTCATTCATACATACCGTCCGTGTGGTGACGGATTAAGAATACAGAGTGTCACCAAACCCTTTACTGTATAGGGTTTGTCTCAAGTTTTCCTTCTCTTTGCAGTGCTGTTGTTCTTCGTAGTTTGCTCCCTTAGTCGGCTCTTACGACACCCTCGGGATGAATAGGGGTAGTGACACTGTATACTGGCCAGACGGCCAGCTTGGTAGAGTAGGCCAAGACCTCCTTTCTAAGGAGAGGCCTATGTCCAGCAGTGGACTATTAACCCCTGTTGATGATGATTGATGATGATAAGACTACATTTATTGAAGTAGAAATATATAGTAAGTACCTACCTAGATTTACTCATAACTTTCGACAACTGTCATACATATAGGTATATATGTCCACATATCATGGTTCAGATATCCAATTCTCGTTATTCATCATCATCTGAGCCAAAAGACGTAAACTGCTGGACATAGGCCCCAAAGTTCGCCACAACAACCCTTCACTAGGTCGTCGGACCACCTGGTGGGGCCCTACCCTCGCTCCATATTTCGTTACAGAGACATGGTCGCTCACAATGGGCCTCATTAGAAGGCTCAAAGTCAATCAAAGAGTAAGTGGAGAGGACAATGTCTAAAGTTTCTCTGCATGATCGAATCAGGAATTAAGTGATCCGCAGGCGAAACAGGGTCACCAACATTGTCCGGGGAAATGCCATATTTAGGTGGCAGTGGACAGGGCAAATTGCTCGCAGAAACGACGACCGATGAGGCCAAAAAGTTCTCGAGTGGCGACCGCGTATGTACATATGTATGAATAATATGTATGAATAATATATATGAATAAATAAATTGAAAATCGATAAATTTTTATGTTTTAGATATACCTATCTTTTATTTTGAATCTTTGAATTGTAGTCAGTCCATTACACTCCCTCAGTGTGCAGTATAACCCTCAGTCTTCTCCCTTCTGCATCTAGTCCATTGCTGCTACCTTCTTTAGATCGTCAGGACTCTAGGGTCTGTATGCTAAAACGATATCTGTCGGTCTTTCAGCAAACGGTGCCAACCTATTTCCACTTCAGCATTCAATTCAAAATATAAACATAGAATATTCTTATGACGTACCTCCTTCGGATGAGGGTTCATCTTTAACAGTTAAGAGTGGCACGAAGTCTCTGGAGTCCGGCACTTCTCCAACGTTCATTGCAATCCTGTGGTGGTCCAACAACGACGTGCTCTGTATTAACAGGAATTTATTTAAGATTTTTTTTCTTAAACCACCGACACCAAGGGTGTCAAAGGGCGGAGACTCTTGAGGTGCCGGTGTCCATGGACGGCGGCAGTCACTTACCATCAGGTACCCCGTCGCCTAGTTCCAACCCTCCTTAAATTTTACGAAACTCTAGCAGTATAAAGATATGTACTACACTAAGAAAAATATTTCTTGTTGCTATTAGTTTAAATTGGTAGATATGGTACTGAATCTCGACATAACAACTAGACGAATGTGGATGAAATTTAGAACAGAAACATATAGCAAATAGATTTGGTACTTGTTTTCCAGAACCCCTAGATAATTGAAAAAAAAACAGCGATAAGCATCATATAGGTACGGGTGTACACAAGTATGTGGCGCTTAAAACATTATTAGTTCGTTCATAGTTCTGAATGCATTAGAAAAAAAATATATTTGATGACATCTGAAGGCTTTCTCATAATAAAAGTTCGGTCTCAATTCAGTTCCGATCAACTTTCGATCTCACAACTGTCATAAAGGGTATTTTCGTAGTAAAGTATTAAACATCCAACGTCGACTGTGATGTGATTATATCGTATTGTGACAGAAAATTGAATCGGCAATGTCTTAGTTATACTTTACTATTTCACTACGAAAATATCTTTTATGACAGTTGTGAGATCGAGAGTCGATCGGAACTAAATTGTGACCGAAATTCTGGTAACTCCGGTCGAGCCGACCCATTTGCGCCGAGTCGTGGTTCTCCCACGGTATGGTCGAGGTATGGCTCATACAGTAAGTACCAAGCTATCTTTTATTTCAACTGAAATTTCGTCTACGTTTCCAATGAAATGAAATGATTTAGAGTCTAGAGTTATATCCAAAAACTTGGTGGTGTCCACAATATCCAACGTCTTTTCATTTATCATTCATATCATTTCATCTGCTTAACATTAGGTGTAAAAATCTAATACATTAGGTTTAAAAATTAATTATTAACATTGAACCAACCTTAGAGATTTGAACCAACCTTAGAGAGATTCACGTCATCAGTTACTGTTTACTATCGTATAAGTTAAATAAAAGTGAAGTGTGATCCGCAAATAGCACTATCTCCTTATTATCTTTTATCAGATTAGGTAGGTCTAAATGACCTACCTAATCTGATGATGATGATGATATATATTAACAAGAAACAAAAATGGGCCAAGAATTGAGCCCTGCGGAACCCCCATAGTGACCAGAGGCCCCAGGGAGCTCTGTCCATTAACTTAAACTCTCTGGATCCTATTACTCAAATAAGAGATAAGAAGATCCAAAACAGCATTCCTAATTCCATAGTTATGCAATTTCCTGATTAAAGTTTCATGAAAAACGCAATCAAATGCCTTAGATAAATCACAAAGAACCCCGCATAACTTACTTTATACCTACTGGAAAGATATTCAAAAATGTTGAAAGATTTGTAGAATACGCCAGTACCAACCTTGGCATAATGCGGTGCCGATTCGAGAGTCTCCAGCATCGTAGCTGGGGGTGAGGCTCGTTCCTGTTTGACACATACCGGCGTGGCTGCAGGTCCCGCCGGCGCCAGCGGTGCCAGCTCTTCAAGACCACTGCCCTGGGGAGTACATCAGTTAATGTTACTAGTCTGTTAGTCTAGTGCTCAGCTGTCCTGACTGCTAAGTCACGGGTTGTGGGTTCGATTCCTATCCAGTAGAAATATTCTCTAATAAGTACGGCCGAGCATAGCCCTTTCCATAGCACGTTGAGCGACTTTGAACTTGTGGACCAGCCGTACCGTAAATGTCCACGTTTCAGCTCCGTATGTCATGACGGGTAGGACGCACTCATTAAAGACTTTCGTCTTAAGGAACTGTGCTCCCAAACGCTGCCCAACCCAACCGAATTCCTCTGTTCAGCTCGTCCTCGAAGTTGTTTCTACTTAACTGCAATGTCTGCCCGAGGTACACATAATTTTGAACAACTTCGAGAACGGCACCGTGTACCTCCATCGGATCCGGTAGTACATGTTCGTTGAACATGACCTTGGTTTTGACCATGATCCAAGTTCATCCATAGGCCGATACGTACAGAAGATTCAGCTAGGTCATTCAATATCTGCTGTAGGTCCTGCAACGTCTCTGCCATGATGACGATGTCGTCTGCAATCTGCAATGCGAGGTGATCCGGCAGAGAACCAAGGTCACCGACATAGCCTACCGGATCAGCAAGCTGAAGTGGCAGTGGGCTGGCCATATTAGCAGCAGAACCGACAACCGACAACCGGAAAACGAGTTCTTGAGTGGAGACCGCGTCTCGGCAAACGTAGTGTAGGACGCCCGTAGGCCAGGTGGAGTAACGATTCGAATTCGAATCGTCTGGATCATCTGGTTGCGAGAAGCCCAAAATCGATCGAAATGGCGTGCAATGGAAGAGGCCTATGTTCAGTAGTGGACTGCGATAGGCTGATGATGAAGTACGATCATTTGTTTTGTGACTGGGTGTAGTTTATCTATAATATGTTTGTATTTAGAAATGTATAGGTATGTTTTTCAGCAGTCTTGTAACCGTTGTTCATGCTCAGCCTAGATAGGGATCAGGTGGCCGTGTGTGAAATGTGTTAAATTTAGAAATTACTTTTATTCTATTATTAATGTAGCTGGATTACGTTAAAAATATCAGCCAGTGAGTTTCGTCTCTGATTGCTTTGGATGAGTTCAAATTGATAGATAGAAACACACGCTAGAAAAGACTACCTACGTGCGGCTATTATACATCAGGGTACCATAGGTTATGAGACAAGGTCAGTCATTAGCTAGTTTCAGGTTTAGTGTTGTAGCCAGTATTAGAGGCTTCGTGTCGTCATGGCAGATTTGTTGCATGGTATAAAATAACCCCTGTCTTTTCCCCCTCGAGGTCGCTGCTTTGAGGAATACCTGTAGCCTGACTAATTGAGACCGATGAATTGACAACATACATTAAAAAAAAAAATGTTAAAAAAGTTATCTATGTTATAATAAACAGTAAGAAAAGAAAAGTAGTTTTTTTTTACTATTACGTTTCAAAAACTATATACTTATATCATTTAATATGAGGCTTGGTAGCCGTTTTTATAATGAAATACCTTTTCACTTATTTAATTTATTTTATAGCTAGTTCATCTTTAACGTTCATTTAAAAAAAATAAAAAAAAATAAGTAATTAGTTTAAAACTTAAAACTAAATGTCATTACTTTTTTTTTATTGCAAGTATGGAGGGAATTTTAAGAAACACTGCCATGGCATGACAGTTATTGTTCATTTTAACAACATCATCATCATCATCATCATCAACAGCCTATACTAGTCCGCTGCTGGACATAGGCCTCTCCTTAGAAAGGAGGTTTTGGCCTATTATACCACGCTGGCCAGACGGGTTGGTATAGGGTTTGTTTCAAGTTTTCTTTCTCTTTGCAGTGCTGTTGTCCTACTTAGTTTGCTCCCTTAGTCGGCTCTTACGACACCCACGGGATGAATTGGGGTGGTGACAATTTGTATTCTTAATCCGTCACCACACGTTCATCATCAACATCATCAACGTCATTTTAACAACAATAGTTTTAAATCAACCAAGAAACAGAAAGGCTCAAGTCACAGCAATCGAAAGTAAAATAAGCCTTTTAAGGTATGACGTATGTGTACAGTTTGCTGGTTCTAAATTTCTATTTATAAAGTCCATTTCAACAAAACAGGAGGTTTTGAACCTTTCACCTTCCTTCTTTAACGTTTTTTGTTTTTTTTTTTCATTTTGATCACATAATGTAAATAAAATTGCCTAGTAAAAAGACCATTCTTTATATGTATATTATGAATCATGTTATAACTGGAATGCGATTTCATCAACAGCTTTTAATAGTCCACTCCTGGACATAGACAGGTAGTTTTGGCCTACTATACCACGCTGGCCAGATGGGTTGGTGTAGGGTTGGTTTCAAGTTTTCCTTCCCTTTGCAGTGCTGGTCTTCTGCGTAGTTATTTTTAGTCGGCTCTTACGACACCCATGGGATAAATAGGGATGGTAACATTCCGTATTCGTAATCCGTCACCACACACCGTCACACACCACACGGACGTGCCGGTAACTGTCCGGTATCCGGCCTACCCGGTAAGTTAATAAGCAAATATCCGCCCGTATAAGAGACCTTATTGCTAGGACGCAATTTTAACAAGGGTTAGTACCCACTCTCTCTTTTAATTCAATATTAGGCTCTGTAGTTTCGGAGATAAGGAACGGCAGTCAATTTTCACATGTTTTCTAAAACTGTTAGTCTCAAAATTATAAATAAAATAAATTGATCTCATTTGAGTTATTACATAATATAGTTAGTATTTTTCAAATAAGTTTTTTTTAGTATCAAAAAGAGACGTCATATCATCGCTATGAGAACAAAACAGCTCCTGACTTTTGTTTCGTTCTGACTGTAGTAATAGTAGTCTGAAGTAATGTTATGATTTTGTAATCATAGGGCCACAATGTCCGTGTAGTGACGGATTAAGAATACGGAATGTCACTACCCCAATTCATCCCGTGGGTGTCCTAAGAGCCGACTAAGGGCGCAAAACAACGCAGGACACCAGCACTGCAAAAAGAAGAAAAACTTGACATAAACCCTATACCAACCCGTCTGGCCAGCGTGGTATAGTAGGAAAAAAACCTCCTTTCTAAGGAGAGGCCTATGTCCAGCAGTGGACTGTTACAGGCTGTTGATAATGATGATTGATGAATGCCACAATGTAGTTTCGCGAAAAATTAGTTTTAATAAATGACATTCAAAAGTAAAAATCGTCATTTAATTATAGACTAAGGTGTTCAATAAGCTTTAGTTTTTTGCGTTGCACATCTGTATTTCGGTCACCAAATTACTACTTAATCAGTCCAGTGGAGAGTCTACTATGTCGATCGTATTTACTGCACGACAGACGCACGAATGATCCTATACGGGTTCCATTTTTTATTCGCACATTCAGAACAGTTTAATTCGTAAGTATTTCGTGGCATTTTATAAAAAGGCTACCGCGACGTAAGAACAATCCCTTAAAAACAAATCCTTATAGGAACGCCCGCTGAAACTAGTTTTCCATAAAATTAAATTAAACCTACATACTACCATATGTGTAAAACATACTTAAAAATACGTAATAAATATTTATTACACATATGCCACTACTCTTTTCAGCACGTAATAATTTATTTATCACTTTTATTTTCAATAGAATGCGTCGCTTGAATTTTTATCTATGTTAATAGCTACGCTACGTACTTACCTACTGAGTTCAGGAAATAAACTGTTAAATTAGGTCTTTACCTATGAAGTTGGAGAATTGTAAGAACATTTTAAACTATAAAAATTTCTTTATTTTAGCTAATCAACATACTGGTCCCAATTATCTATACAATTTCGCCATTTTGATGGCAGTTTGTTTATCCCTTTACTGTAGAAGTCTGCTGCACGGGACGCGAACAAGTGTTGATATTTTTCCTACTTAAAAAATTGTCTAAATTTTGAAAAAGGTATAAATTGATTGGGGCAAGCTCCGATGAATACGGTGGGTGACGGAGAGTTGCCAGCTGTAATTCTGGTAGCTTTGCCATGGTCTGTCGTGAACTCGTCAACCCGCAGACCGCGGGGCTCGTTCTTCAACTCAACATTTTCAGATTTAAAACGATTGAACCAATAATGGACCGTGTTATGCAAGCAATGTTAGGCCCGTACACGTCGTTAATGTTTCGTGTTAATTGCGCAGCGTCGGTATTTCCACGTAGGAACTACGAATACGTTACGAATTTTCAGTTAATCCATGGTACCAATATTTCACAAAAACAAAACACTATCGAAAACAAATAACTGAATTTTTAAATAAAGTAACATGACTCGAATATTTTTTACATTTTATTTTATAATCCTCAAGTATATTTAATAATTCTTGACATTTTTTTTAATCTTTTTTGACATTGTATTTATATTCTGACAAATAAATATATTCTTATTTTTATAAAATTTATTTGAATTTCGAGTTGATTGCCAATCCACGGGTAATTAAATTTGAAAATGCTGGTTTTAAAAATCTCCAACTTCATAGATAAAGATCTACGAGTATTATTAGGTACCTACATACACATTTAATAAGGTAAAGTTGCAGGATATTTTTTTATTTTGAACATCTAATATACATAGAAGTCGATTTTCTAATAATGCAAAATACCTTTCAATAAGACGTACCTAATAGGATTAAACTTTACTAATTATAAAAAATAATGACTTCATCCACTATCCAAAAAGACAGCGAAATATTTTTTTTAAGCCTTAAAAACCATAATTAACTAGTGCGTAAATCAGTTAAAAATAAGTTTATATCAAAAAAGAGATTTTACTTTATAAACAGCAAAAAAAAGTTTTAGTGGTTACGCATTGCGAGTTACAGCGTTTAGTGACCCTATTGTAAGAACTTCATTTAAATAAATAACATATTACCTGCAAGTCTTGAAGTAAATCTCTTGAAACACTATCATTACTCTTTCGCGGCGAATCTAATTTTACTGGATGAACTTGCGGCGTAAACTTGAAAAGAAAAATACTTCTTAGTCTATGCGCGTTAATTTTCTTTTATAATACTCAAATTTAATTCCCCTTAGTCATGAATCAATGCTTTTTATTGTGGTACAGTGATCATACATGAGCACAAAATTATGATGATCACTCAAATTGCAAAAAAAAACTATTAATATGTATGTAATGTAAGTCAATTTATATATTATTTTTTTATTGAAACTTTTCCAAAGTCCTAATTGTTGAGATTTTAAATAAAGAAAGTAGGTACCCAATACAACTTTTTACACAATTAAAACCTTATAACATTATTTGTAAAATTATCTGCATGGAATGTGCAACTTACGAAAAATGTTAATTGAACTTACCTGACTAGATAGATAATCGCGCGCGAACTGTGAATTACTATCTTCTTCGTCAGACGGTGGCTCGCATTTCACCAGCCACAGTCCGTGGCCGGGCATCTCCTACCAACACGAAAATAACACACTAAGTATTACAACTCTAGCTTGCTTAATAATGTACTACTTTGTGTCAAATTGTCATTTATTAACTGTTATGTTCAATTTACAAGATAGTGTCCAATATACCATCACACAAAAAACGCAAGCCGGACAAACACTTGGTTTCTGAACAAATGTAAACACCGTGACCCCATGCTCCCCCGGAACGTCGCACAAATCGAACAATCGCCATGATATAAGTAGGTTTACATAGGCAATTAGACAAAAGGAAGCGAGCTTTATTGAATTTTTTCTCGAATGGTGCACAAATGAAGAGTGCAAAGTTGGTTTCTCTCTCTTTCTGTCGCCCGCCGGGCAGTACGTCTCACGAGCTTTTTTAATTTTGTTGTTTTAAAGCTCCATGCTGCTATACATTTCGCTATTGTAGGTATATTAAGTCCGGCAGAAACTTAAAAGTAAGTTCAATTTTGCGCGTGAATGGTTCAAAACTTTATACATAAGAGAAAACTTGTAAGATTTTTCAATAAACGACTTTAAGATTTTGTATGTAACGTATATTTTCGTACAGTATCACCTGTCAGAGGTGGAGGAAAGTAGTGAATGTAAAGTTGCGCGGTTAACCCTCTCTCGTCGTTCACATCTTTCTATTCGAGGAGCCGGCGGGCGCAATGCACGTCTGCGCGACCCCGACACACCGCGAGATACGAAAACACATTCACGTTCAACGTCTTCCCGGCATTCGCCGAAGGACGGTGCAAAACGGGTGCCGATAAACACGAGGGAAACGGAATCGTCAAAGACGCGGGCGCGAAATTCACTCTGAAACTCACCTAGTCGGTCAGCGGTGGCCGCCGCAACCACTCGCCCGCGCCACACATGCACCGCGAACTTGTCACGACACCCGCGACTGCACGTGACCTTCGGGAAACGATGAGATGTCGCAAATGAAAGTGAATTCGGCACACACCCGGCGGAGTCTGCGTCGCTGCGTGGCGCATGTTTAGGAGGTGCAGGGCGGGCGCGTGCTGATTTTTTTCCGCGCCAAAGAAATAAAAACAAACGCCTTTTTGCCGGGAACCGGCCGCGCGTTGCTCTGTAGGCTCGCTCCCCTTCGAGCCGTACACGAACGTACTAAAAACTAGTCCCCGACACGTTACAGAGGTGCTATCGAAGGTCCACATTGTTTTGCATGCAGCATTATTGCAGCTGAAACTACAAAGGTTGTAAACTTAGAAGTCCTACAAATAAGTCAGTAGGGGAGGGTAGATGCATTATAGGATGTGTAGGTATGCAGGACGAGGAGGAAGAGGGTGGTCCTCCCACGCGGCGCCCGACCAGTCGGCGCCCCGCGCGGCGCCTTCTCTCTCCGCTCCGATTGATTTTTATTACAAGAATTTCGCTCGTGGTTTTTTTTTGTTTCCCGCACACCGAAAGCCCGACGACTCACACAACGAGATTCGTATAATTCGTTTGTACGAACTTACTAATGCTATTGATTTTTATAACGAAGCGACAGCGCTTACCAGTAACTGAATGCAGGATGTACCTTTTTAAGTTACAAGGAAAACTTTGCGATTTACTTTTTCTCGTAAAACGTACCCAACATTACATCCATCTAGATTTGAATTTGGAATGAAATTTACTCTTAAACCAGTAGATAAAAACAATATACGAGTATGTGGCTTAAGATTTTTTTGCGTTCTGCGTACTAGTGGAAGAGGAATCGGAGGCTAGAAGAATTGTAGACTTTTAACGGATTTTATTCCATATTTGAAAATATTTTTCATTTTACCCATCATCAATCTGGTTGTGATCTGATGATAGAATCATGGAGATATTAAGGGAACTCTTGAATAGGTATACCTCACTGTCGATAATAATTATTTATTCGGTGAATTGAAACTGATGATCAAGGCGAAAAAGGGGAACAAAAACTACTCAATAATATGGTTGCTTACAATTTTTGCTCGTCGCACATGGTGACGTACCATCCGAACTCCTCAAGAATAAATGTTCCCTGATGGCGAAGGACAATATTTTGAAAAGGGGAAATGAGCAATTGAGGTTGGACTGTTGTAACTGAGATAAATTACATATCTGAGGGTAAAAATGAGGGTACATTAATGTATTTGTTATGATTGTAGTGATCGAGAGACCTTGAAGTACCCTTTATAAGATACCCTTTTATACCCTTTTATAAGTACCCTTTTATAAGACATTGATTCTGAATTTACGAGAAAGTTTTATGTGGTGTACTTGATTTTTTTTTGTTTTAAAAAGACACCTCCCGCCTTAGGAATATATTCCTGTGTCGCGGGGGACTTTACAAACATATATGAAACGGACACAAAGAACACCCAGACTAAGAACAACAATTTGTGGATCACAAGTGAAGTATTGTTCCATGCGGGGATCGAACCCACAACACTCAGCGCAGTAGGAAGCGGCGAGGTGACCGCTTACACCACTACGCCATCCGTGCAGTACTTGAAAGTTCCCTTTCTCTTTTCTCGCAAGTAAGAGGTGAAATATGTAGGTATGGGTGCCAACAAGTAAAATCTTGAAAATTCAAACAGTTTTATTCAACAGCTTTAAATAGTAATATCAGCACCTTTCAGAAACACAGAAACCTCTTTGGGCGTTCGCAGGTTTCTTGGAGCGGTCAAGACCACAACTAATATCCTTTCTAATACAGAAAGGATACTAGTTGTGATGCACTCCTGCGCAGTCCAGGATTATGTGGGCGTCTCCTCCTCCTCCTCCTCCTTTGCATTGAGACACCCTCAACAAAGATAGCTTTCCGTCGCATTGAGATGGCAGTCCAGATCATCCTTTGGCAACCTTTAATAGTAATCGTTGTCAGAAGGAAGAAAGTAAAATGGGTTACCCCTTTTTACATTTTCTTTACATTGAAAAACGGATAGGGAAAAGACGGGTCTCACGTACCCACATGGTCGTTGTGTAACTGGATAGGCCAGTAGGTCAGATACATCTACTGGTATAAGGTTGCAGTGTAAACAAATAAGTATAATAAAAATGTAAGTAAATTTAATGTAGAAATAGGGAGGCCACCCGCTAGCAATCATTACTGCTATGCTGGCGGGTCAGAAGGTCTGGGCATAGTTGTCTTCTTCTGTGAAGATATTATACATCAGAAAGAGACCTCTGAACAGGATCGGGAGAGGGCCATTCCCGAGCATAGAGGGCGTCGCCGTCGGCAGCGAAAGCAGATGGGCTGTGGGCTGCCAAAGAATGCAAATAATATAGGCGGGGTGTAAGCCTGTGCCTTCCACTGATATAGGACCTGGCTAACATAGACCAGATCCGCCCAAGTTTAGGGCACCTAAGACCTGCTGTCAGGTTGGTTTTTAGTGGAAACAAAACATACTCCTGCGTCCATGAGAAGCCAGAGCGCCGAAATGATTTTCAACCGTGCCAACAAAAAATAAAATTAAAAAAGGTACAGGGAGGCAAACAAACAGACGAGGGGCCTGTTGGTATGTGACTACCGCCGGTACTTCAGGGAAAGTGGGGGAAAGGGCGGGGGGAGGGGATGAATTGCTCACTGCTGCTATAAGGCTGTGGTATCCCGATGACAATCGAGTTGGCAAATGCATTCCGCGAAGTATCCCAAGACATGAAAAAATAAATTACTTAACAAATCATAAGAAAAAAATTGCAAAAAAAACAATTTTTATATGACTACACGGATGGCTTAGTGGTTTAAGCGGTCGCCACGCCGCTTTCTATTACGCGTGTGTTGTGGTTTCAAACACAACACTTTGCGTGATCTACAAATTGTTGTTCTGAGTCTGGGTGTAGTTTGTGTCCGTTTCATATATCTTTATAAAGTCCACGCGACACAGGTTTTATTCCTAGTGCAGGAGTTGTCTTTTAAGAAGAAAAATATGTAAATTAGTATGTGTGATATTACAGTAACACGAATAGGGTGAAAAATACATATCTATAATAGAAGAACAGACTGATTCACTGACTGATCGACCAACTCACAGCTGAAACCACTGGGTATAGAAGCATTAAACTTTGCACAAGGATTTAAAAAAAAAAACACTCCTAAGGGTCCAAAATTTATATGAAACTTGCCTACTTCCCATTATTCGATTGAGCTAAAACTACACATATTGCACACATCTGTGGCGGAAGCTTATTCCGACACCGTCACTGGATGAGCGGAATCGCTCCGCTCATGCCACTTAGACCACAACCAAGAAACATACGATGTTTACTGCAGACGGCTGGCGCCAATGCGCCCGCGCACCGATATCGGCGCGCCACCACCACATAACGCTTTCGACTTGCTTGGAGCTTATACGCGTCGCGCTAACATATGTTATTCATATACCTGTGCTTATTTCGTATGTGCTAAATTCTCCTGTATTTACTTTGCTAATATAATTTCATTTCTTCCTTAATAATAATATTATTCATTCTGCTTTTAAACCTTCATTCATTCTTCCTACTTACTATCGCTCGCTTACTTAGTGCTTTCACGCGGGTTCGATACCCGAACGTTGTTAGTGTAGGCTAACCTAGCCGAGCACTACATTGGTGACCCCGACGTGATCACCGCGATCACAGTATACCGCGATTCTGCGTTTCGGTCGTCGTGTCAGCCGTGCCTGAGCGAATAACCTGGAAGAAGACCTGTGTCTCGGTGGAACTCAAGCAACGAAGAGGAATCGAAGTCGTAAGCATATTGTGTTGTTTACGTGATAACGGAAGGTTGGTGTATGGTCCAAGTGGTGAGTGATCTTACATTATTTTAATATGTCTGAGTCAGACGAATATACCGAGGCTGTAACTCCTGGTGTCCTCAGAGTAGGCGTCAGAATACCGCCATTTTGGCCAGAAGAACCCGGGCTGTGGTTCGCACAGGTAGAAAGCCAGTTTAAGCTGTCCGGAATAACAACAGACGATACCAGGTTTTGTTATTTGGTTGCTCAGTTAGACCACCGCTATGCTGCTGAAGTGAAGGATATCATCACAAACCCACCTGACAAAAATAAGTATGAAAAGCTTAAATCTGAGCTCATTAAGCGATTGTCAGCTTCTCAAGAAAAGCGGGTTAAGCAACTATTAATGCATGAGGAGTTAGGGGACAGGAAGCCCTCCCAGTTTCTGAGGCATTTATCTAGTCTGGCTGGTCCATCCGTGCCCTCTAATTTTTTACTAACTCTCTGGTCTAGCAGGTTACCGCAGAACATCCAGACTGTCATAGCTACACAGATGGACCTCGACGGTGACAAGCTAGGCGAAATAGCGGACAAGGTCTATGAGATCGCACCGTCTTCACCACAGGTAGCTAGTACAACCTCTTCAGCGCCATCTACATCAACCAACGACATGACTCAGCAGATCGCAGAACTGACCAGGCAAGTGGCTATGCTTACTAGCAGACTCGAACGCGCAGAACGCTCACGGACTAGACCTCGTTCCTCTCATAGACGATCACATCGCTCACGCAGCCGTTCCCGACCGAGGCAACCGCCAGAAGGTCATCCCTACTGCTTCTACCATTACACCTATGGTGCCAAAGCCTCCAAGTGTAGGCAACCATGCACCTTCAACTCGGAAAACTCCAAGGGCAGTCGGAAGTAGCGGCCCACGACTGCCCCTTAGTAACAGGCCGTCTGTTTGTAACTGATCGCGTCACAAAAATGCAGTTCCTTGTGGACACTGGTTCCGACCTGTGTGTTTTTCCGCGATCTTCTACCAAGACGCCCTGCAGTAAGTCCAAATATGATCTCGTGGCAGCTAATAACACTATCATACACACTTATGGACCTACACAATTGCACCTCAATTTGGGACTTAGGCGAGACTTCACGTGGAACTTCACCATTGCAGACGTGTCGAAGCCAATTATTGGCGTAGACTTCCTGAGCCACTACAACCTTCTAGTGGACTGTAGAAACCAGCGTTTGGTTGATGGCACTACAACACTGTCGGTAGCAGCTACTTCGTTAGGAACTTCAGATGACATCGCTTCCGTCAAGGCCGTATCTGGTGAGTCTAAATTCCATTCTTTACTGCGCGAGTTTCCTGAGATCACTAGACCAGCTGGAGTACATTCTCCACCCAAGCACAATACTCTGCACTTCATAAGGACTACTCCTGGTCCACCAGTTGCCAGCAAACCTCGACGTCTTGACCCAATTCGCTTTCAAGCAGCGAAAAAAGAGTTTGAGGACATGCTTGCTTCTGGTGTAGCTCGACGCTCAGAGAGTCCATGGTCTTCCGCTCTACACCTGGTGAAGAAGAAGGACGACGGATGGAGACCATGCGGCGACTACCGTGCACTTAACGCCAGGACCATTCCCGATCGGTATCCGATCCGGCACATAAGTGACTTCGCTTACCAGCTCTCAGGATGCTCCATCTTCTCCACCATCGACCTGGTGAAAGCGTACAACCAAATATTGGTTAATCCAGCAGACGTACCCAAGACAGCCATCACAACACCCTTCGGAATGTACGAATTTCAGTACATGACCTTTGGTTTAAGGAATGCTGCACAGACCTTCCAAAGGTTCATCGATGAAGTCCTTCTTGGCCTGGATTTCTGCTATGGGTACCTAGATGACATCCTGGTCTTCTCGGAGACACCAGGAGACCACCAGCACCACCTACGTCAGCTGTTTGAACGCCTTAGACAATATGGGATCTTGGTCAACACTTCGAAGTGCAAACTTGGTCAGTCGGAGATAACTTTCCTCGGCTACCAAGTTTCAGCAGCTGGTACCAAGCCTTTGGAGACAAAGGTTGAGGCTATCCAGAACTATACACCACCGAAGACCATCAAGGAACTTCAGCGTTTCCTCGGTATGCTCAATTTTTACCGTAGGTTCATTCCTAACGCTGCAAAGATCCAAGCACCGCTCACTAACATCTTAGCTGGCCCGCACGTCAAAGGTTCGCAACCTATCACTCTAACTCCGGAGATGCAGAAGGCCTTCGAAGAGTGTAAGACATCCTTGTCACAGGCCACACTACTGTCGCATCCAGATTCCACCGCTGAACTTGCCATTGTTACTGATGCAAGCGATCTTTCCACCGGCGCAGTGCTGCAACAACGCAAGGACAAACACTGGCAACCCTTGGGATTCTTCTCTCACAAGCTAAGTACTTCACAGAAGAAATACAGCCCGTACGACCGAGAGTTACTTGCAGTGTACGAGGCCATTAAGTACTTTCGGCATATGGTGGAAGCAAGAAACTTTACGGTATTCACTGACCACAAGCCTCTCACGTTTGCTTTCTCGTTAAACCGAGAAAAATGTTCACCTAGGCAGTACCGCTACCTTGACTTTATCGCTCAATTCACGACAGACATAAGATTTATACCTGGACGGGAGAATGTCGTCGCTGATGCTCTGTCGCGTGTTGAAGAGGTTACAACCGCCATTGATTTTCAGTCTCTTGCACGATCTCAGGAACACGATCCAGAGCTGCAAGAGCTGCTTAAAAATGGTACTGCCCTGAGGCTACAAAAAATTAAGCTAGACTCCAGCAGTAAATTTATTTTATGTGATACTACACTACCTACACTTCGACCATATGTAACACCCGAATTCCGCAAACAAGTCTTCGAATCGCTACACAACTTACACCATCCAGGAGGTTCTGCTACTGTGCGACTGGTGACACAAAAATTTGTTTGGCCAGGGATTCGTAGAGACAGTAGAGAGTGGGCTAGGCAATGTTTGAAATGCCAAGAAACTAAAATATCCCGTCACACCACCTCTCCACCTTCCTCTTTCCTTCCCCCGTCCTCTAGGTTCTCTCACATACACCTCGACATCGTAGGGCCCCTAACTCTGTCCAATGATTACAGGTACTGCCTCACCGTCATCGACAGATTCACACGATGGCCTGAGGCATATCCCCTACGAGATATCACTGCCGAGACGTGCGCTGCAGCCCTCGTGTCT